TTTGCTATGCTGGATTTCTTCTGATTCCATGTGAATTTTATGATTATTTTCTCCAGTTCTGTGAAAATAGCTGTTGGTATTTTGATTGAAATTGTTTTAAATCTGTACATTAGATTTGGTAGTATGGCCATTTTGACTGTATTGATCTTGTGTATCCAGGAACAGGGAATATCTTTGCATTTTCTGATGTCCTCTTTGATTTCCTTTTCAAAGTACCTTAGTTTGCATTGTAGACATATTTAACTTCCTTGGTTATTTTAATTCCTAAGTGTTCAATTTTTCTTGGTTCTATTGGAATGATATTTTATCTTAATTTCTTGGTCAGGGGGTTTATGATTAGTATACTAATTTAATTTTTGTCTGTTGATTTTATATCCTGTTAAATTATTGAACTTGGTTAATAATTCTAAGAGTCTTTTGGTGGATTTTTTTTTTTTTGGATCTTCTACATAGAAGATGATGTCATCTGAAAGTAATGATAATTTGACTTTTCCCTTTCCTATATATATCCCTTTTATTTTTTTTTCTTGCCTAATGGCTCTTGCTAATGTTTTGAGTGTTATTATGTTCAACAGGAATGGAGATAGTGGACATCATTGTCATGTTTCTGATTTTAGAAGAAAAGCTTTCAGGTCCTCCCCATTTAATGTGATTTTGGTAGTAGCTTTGTTATGGATAGCTTTTACTAGATTGTGATAAGGCCCTTCTATACCTATTTTCTTCAATGTTTTCATCATGAAAGATGTTTAATTTTGTCAGAGGCTTTTTCTGCATCTATTGATTTGTGGGTTTTTTAGGTTTGTTTTGTTTTTCTTATTGTTTTGAGACAAGAGTCTCACTATGTAATTCAAGCTGGCCTTGAACTCATTAGGTAGCCCAGGCTACTTGTGGTGATCCTTCTGCCTCAACATGCTGAGTGCTAGGATTACAGGCGTTTACAACCACACTGGGCTTTTCTGCATTTATTGAGATCATGTAGTATTTGTCCTTTCTTCTGTTTATGTGATGTACTACATGTATTCATTTGTATAAATTGAATCATCCCTGCATCCTGGGGATAAAGCCTATTTGGTCATGATGTATAATCTTTTCAGTGATTCATTGCATTCCTCTTGCCAGTATCTTGTTGAGAATTTTTGCATCTATATTCATTAAAGAGATTGACCTATAGCTCTCTTGTTTCTCTGATCCTTGTCTGTTCTTTGACTCAAGGTCAAAGCAAGCCATCAAACTTGTGCATTATTTTAAAACAAAACTGAAATTTAACTTGTAGCAGTTTTTGCATTGGAATTCTAATTCTAATAGAATTTTTTTTCTTGAGTTCTCATTCATACTGCCTTTTATACCCAGTTTGACTGTAAGTTTATATCTAGACATCTAAAAAGTTTTGCTGTTTTAAAATATCACCATGAAGAAATCATGATAGGTAATTTGTTCTTTTGCCCTGATTGCCCAAAAGATATTTTATTTTTGAAATTCAGAATGTTTACAGGACATAAGTCAGTGTGGAATCATCTTGTGTCAGTTTTTCCTAGGACACAGAAGAGTTCTATTTTGATTATATTGTATCAGTTTTTATTTCCTGAACTTTCTTTGCATTGTCTTTTAGCACTGTTTTAAAATTTTTTTTAGTTTTTTTGGATGCAACAGTGATACCTATGTTGGATTCCTTTCATCTGATCCTTTGAACTGTGTCTATTTTTTTTGTTATTAATTAATTTTATTGGTATATTTTAGATGTACATAATGATCACATTCATCATAGGGAATTGGACTTATGCATACTTTATCTTGACTTCTTTTTTCCTCATTCCCTTTCCCTCTTTTCTACCCTTCTGCCCCTTCTTATTTGCAAAAACTTTTTCATTTTTTCCTTCTATTCTTTTTTTTCTTGTCCCTTTCTTTTCTCCTCCCTCCCCCTCCTTTGTTCCCCTTCCCATTTGAACATTATTTTTTTCCCATTTTCCAATATCTATTATATATTTCTTATTTACCTTTTAGGTTTTTCACACCAGAGAAACAATGCTATATTTATACATGTTTCTCCAATTTATTTCACTTATGGGTATGATCTCAAGATGTATCCATTTACCTAGAAATGTTTCAAGCCTATCTTTCTTTACGGCATAGTCATACTCCATTGTATAAAAGAAACCATATCTTCTTTATCCAGTCATCGTTGATGGGCATTTGGGCTGTTCCCAAGATTTAGCTATTTCAAATTGTATTGTTACAAACATGAGTGTGCATACTGTAGGTTGTCTCTTCACTCCATTGGTGGTTTCTTTTGGTGAACAAAAGCTTTTTAATATGATGAGATCCCAGTTGTGTCTTTATGGATTTCTACAATGTTTTCATTTATGTATAAATTATTGCAAAGGTAATGTTTCTAGAGTACTGCAAATATTAGCATAGCTGGGTTCAGTGGCACACCCATGAACTCTCAATCACTCAAGAGGCTGAGGCAGAAGGATTCTTGAACCCAGAAGTTCAAGACCAGGCTGGTAGACTCAAATTTTTTTAAAAAATTACATCAGATTTTCCTTTTTAAACACAGTATCTGTAGAGTGCCTTTCCCTTGCAGAATTTTGTTTTAATGTATATTTTAATATACCTTAATAGATTTAAAGGATATTTTATTCTAAAAGTATTTTAAGTTATATATTTCTAAAACAAAGCATAGAAATTAAAATTACAGTGAAAATTTTCTTGTGATCATAAAGAAAATAAAAATTTTCTTCTGAATTGAATATTAGATTATAATTATTAGTGGTTGGAAGAACATGCACATATTACACATTTTTATAAATAAAAATATTTATTAGAAATATCTTTAATTCAATGTATTTTTCAATTATTATTTATATTTCTGCATGGCTAGAAGGAAGCAGAATTTCAACATTGATTCAGTTCCTTTATTTTATTTCTATTGTTATGAATCTTGAGAAAATTTGTTCACATGAATAAGAAGAAAGACATAACAAGAATTTATTATCAAAATATCACTCAATTCTTTGAATTCCCTTTGATTCATTTGTCAAAACATAACCATAATGAGCTATCAGCAAAAAATGGTTTTAACCATCTTTCAGTTGTTACTTTGATTATATTCTTCTGCAAACTTGTTGAAAGAATTATAAATCACTTAGGTTTTCTGGTGCTTTACTTTAGAGCTCTGGATCCTCTCATACATTTGTTCTTTTCATACATTTTTTTCATACATTGTACTTATTTGGTCCTCCCACCTGAGTTAATAGCTCCTCCTCCTTGCTTTCCATATGCGAACATAGTATCTGTCATCATTTATCTTTTTGTAGTGCACTTTTGAAGACCAACCCATCCATTTTGCCTCCTAAACATATCTGAAATATAATTCCACATGTTTGTCTAGTTCAGACCAACATCCTGTAATTGGTAATGTTATTGTGACTCTTCTTTCTAACTCCATTCCTTCTTCAGTATGTCAACCATAGAATTACTATAATGGCTTGTCTAAAATACAGATCAATCCTGTATTTTCTAACTCAGAAATCTTCAGTTCTGCTTACTTATATATCTTCAATGTCTCTACATTGCTAAAAGGACTGCATTAATATTTACTTTCGTTAATTATCTTGTACTTACCTGTTCTCAACTACCTTTCCAGACTGTCCTACCACACTTATTCTTATCTATTTTTTTGTGGGGGGTACCGGGGTTTGAACTTGGGACCTTGTGCTTGCAAGGCAGGCAGCAGAACCACTGAGCTAAATCCCCAGCCCCTATCCTTATCTATTTTACTCTAGTGACATTTCCTTGAACAGGCATCTTGGTATGTATATTGAAATGCCACAATGGAAGCATAACTTTATTTTTTTCAGTAATATTTATCCTAATCTTCTGGCTACTTAGGAGGTAAAATATATCCATATACAATGAGAATATCCCTCTTCAAATTGTTTTGTATCATTGAAATATTTTGATATCACATTGATAGCATTAAGCATTGCTATGGGAAATGACAAAGAAAAACCGAAAAATGGAGCCCATAGCAAAGAAAAACCACAGTCCTTAAATGTATCAAAATTTTTCAAAAAGAGTTTTGAAAACACACAGTGACATAAATTATATATGTATACAATTCTCTTCCATTTATGTTAATAAAGAAAAGGAGCCAGATGTGGCAGCATACGCCTGTAATCCCAACATTTAAGAGGCTGAGGCAGGAAAATTGTTATGAGTTCAAGGTAGCCTGAACTACATAACAAGACCCTGTCTCAAAAAACAAAACAAAGAAGAACTTCTGTCTTTGAACTATTTCTATAGTTATCTTTTTACAATTTCCTTTGGATTCAGTGTATTAGGTAGGATGAACACTAGCATTTTAAAAGGTGGGTTCCACTAAAAATTTCAGCACTTCCAAATATATGATTTTTTTTATAGGTTGTTCATGTTTGCTAAATCTTTTTTCTCATTTATAAAGAAAGATTAATGTACATTCTTTTTTCTTTTCTTTCTTTTTTTTTTTTGTACTAGGGATTCAAACTAAAAATTTCAGCACTTCCAAATATATGATTTTTTTTATAGGTTGTTCATGTTTGCTAAATCTTTTTTCTCATTTATAAAGAAAGATTAATGTACATTCTTTTTTCTTTTCTTTCTTTTTTTTTTTTGTACCGGGGATCAAACTCAGGATTCTGTGCTTGCCAGACAGGTGCAGTGCCACTGAGCTAAATCCCCAGCCCACATTTTCCTTTCTGTTCAAGGAGTGATTGAGCCACATGAGGTAGCATGTGAGAATATGGGATAAATGTAAAAAGACATATGTATTGTATCATTGAATTAGTCTTTATTGTCTTTAGCATTAATCCTACATTTCTGTAGCAGATGTGGTCTGTCTTGATGGAAGGCATATGTTGATGAGGCTAATAAATGCTCAAATGAAATAAAAGATGTGTAGGGGCCTATTTGTTTTATTTTTTCTTATTTCTTTCTTTCATGTTTCTTCCTTATTAAAACAGTTTTGGTATGAACCATGATGGAATTGGAAATTCTTGTGGGACTAAAGGTCATGAAGCAGCAAAACTTATGGCAGCTCACATTACTTCAAATACCAATCCTTTTTCCTGGTCTGCCTGCAGTCGAGACTATATCACCAGCTTTCTAGAGTAAGTAATCTCTAGAGAGTAATTACGAATTGCTCCAGAAATAAGTCATTGGTGAAAGCCTAATATGTAGTGCTTCAAACTTTGCACAATGAGTAACTTTTACAGGGCCCTGTTATATTTCAGGTTGTTCCCTACATACTTTAACTCATCTTTATGACAAATTTTTCAATTCAATTCTCAAAACTTGAACAAACTAGAGGAAGTAGAGCAAAGACACAAGTGAGACTGATGATGTGACTGATTAGAATTGTTAAACAAATGGAAAGCAATTTCAGAAAGAATTTTCATAATTTAATAGAGAAAAACCCATACTTTAATTCACTGATTATATATTTCATTATGTTGGTGAAAAAAACAGTTATGTGGGAGTCCCAGAGTATCTAATAGTAACAAACAACAACAACAAAAACCAAGAAGCCAGGAAATGCACATTTTGAGAAAAAACTTTATTAAGTAACCCATCTTTTCTACTGTTCGGGAAACTTCTGCAGTCTTTCAACATATGTTCCAGAGTCTGCTTATCTAAATATGAAGAGTATAAATCAACTCAGCTGTAAGAATGTTTAGGAAAGGAGATGTTCTTCTACATCTCAGCTACATAGACTTTCCACATTGGACTTTAGAAACTGATACATTTGGGTCTTTCTGGCCATATAACCTTGGGCATGCTACTTACCCTTTCTAATCTTCAATGTCCTGTTTTATAAATGGACTTAAATAGTAATGCTTACATTATCAGGTGTTATGTACATAATTATGTGTAATGCTGTAGTTGTATAAAACACTTAATAGACATTCATTAAATGATAATACTACTTTAAATAATATAAAGGTTTTCAGTGCTTTATTGCTCTACTGTTACCTTTAGCTATGTTGTATTATACTTTTCTTGCAGAGGAGGGACTAAATATTCAGAGGAAAAGTAAGATCTAAGTAAAGTACATGCAAACAATGGAAATTCTTAAATATTAACTTTGTTCAAACTTTATATTAACATGATTGCATTGTAAATTTTTTAAAAATCAGGTAGTTATGTAGGATAAAATTATTCACTAAAACTTTCCTTCATATCTACTAATAGCCAGATTATATACTGAAAGCTTTTAATTATATATTTTAAAAGGGCTCAAATAAGATTTTAAATTACCCAGCACAGTGCTTTACTCAATAATCAAAATGGTCACTTTTGAATTAATTAATATAATAATAGAGTTGAAGTAGTTGAAAATTAATTTCAGATTATTTACCAACAAATGTTAATCTTAGTAATAGAAAATGATAGCACTTTACTTGCCTAGTGCCAACTGGGTGAAGTACAGTATTATAGATAGACCACAGAGAATTTGTTTGATATCATGTGGTAGGGTTTTACACAAAACACTAGCAATATCATTTTCTAAGATGGTTTATCTAAATTTTAAACACTGTTAAAGATCTGCTCTCCCCAGAAGTCAGGCCAGATCTGAAATTTCTCTCTTGACTTGGCTCATGTTTTTATAATGGAATTTTAATCTCTATCATCAGAAAGACAAACTGTATATAATATGATCATATAAAACATGATATTTTTGATGGCAACTGTTTTCTTGGTTTTTAAAAATATTATTTTCTTTTCTCCTGCATCCTGTTTCTGTCCCACTGATTGTTACACAGCTCATTAGCTAATACCATCTCTATATACTAAGTACAAGGCCAGTGGCTAATACTTCCATGCCTTAGGCATATAATAAATTTTGTGTGTTCTTCCCTGTTAAAAACACATACATATATGGACTAGTTTCAATCTCCTGCCACATCTTGTCCATTTGAAATCATATTATGGCTGTAAAGACACAATAAAAGGCAATCCTTAAATCACTGGTAAAATACACTTAGGAAGTCACCACTGGTTTTGTTGGAGATACAGAATTATTACTAGCTTTAATAAAGTGTTCTATTAAGTTAATTAAAGTAATTAATACAAAAGGCATCATTTAATCCTTGTTGTTTTTTTGTATTTTCTATGTATAAGCATGATTTGTGTTGACAGGGGATTATTTATCCTGTATATCATAAAAATATTTATTTTGTGCATCCTCATGTGAATGCTGACAAAGTTAAAACTATAAATAAAAGGTAGATGTGAAAGAAAATGGGTAAAGACATGGGGAAAATTTGGCTTCTTCTCCCTCTTCTTTAAAAATAAACTTTAAAAAATCTGATTATAATCTATACCTAAAATGTACCAATGATTAGAATGAATAATTGATAATGTAAAATAGGAAGAAAAGGTCCAAAGGGGTAGGGATAGTGGGAGGGGCAGGGGAAAGGAAAGAAAGGAAAGGAATAATGATGAGAAATGGAAAAAATGGAAATAAGGTCTTTGTAAATAGGGAAGGGTGGAGGGCGTGAAGGGAGGGCTGGAAATGGGGAAAAAATAAGAACCAAGATGCATTATGTAAAGGTACAATTCCCAATGAGAAATGTAATTTTGTTGTATACCTACAATGTACCAATAAAGGAATTTAGTACAAAAAAAAAAATCTATCCAAGCAGTAAAGAGCTTTTATACACAAGGCCCTTTTTAAAGGTCAGTTCACTGAAGTACAAAGACATAGTAATTTTCTTGAATTTCTTTGTTCTTTTTTATTAATGCAGTGAACTTAATTTCTGTAAAAGCTATGCATGATATTTTGTAAAATATAGTGATATTTTGATCAAGGATTGAGGGTACATTTATATTTTACAATTGACTCAAAAAGGTTCATAGCACTTTATTTTAGCTTCTCTCCTCAAAGGGAAGAAATCTTGAAAGATGATGGTTTAGGAACTGCAGCCCAGTCAACAAAATGCATATCTTTCTCCACTTAGTGACTGTATAGGCCAAAGTCATGGCGGATTTAGCAATGAGCTTTCTATGATTTATAGAGATTCACTATTCTGTTCAATAGAAAACAATTCTGTGGCCTTTAAGTGCCAGTAGAACACAAAGTCTCTTGTGTCATTCTGAAACACTAGATGCTATTGATCATCAGGAGATGGTGTTTACCAACTCCCAATATTTTTTTTCAGATTTCTTAAACTCGGTGATTCAATAAGTGGTTCATGAATCGCCCAGAAGCCGTCCTGATTAAATAATAAAGAACCCATTTCCGTTATAATGGACGTGTTATGCCAGCTTCTGATGTTTTCCGACGACGGCTTTGCAGGTAGTGTCCTTCCTATCTGCCTGCGGGACTTATTTATTTATTTATTTATTTAGAAACTAGAGAAAGATGAACCTGGAACTATGGCCCCCACTCATTGATGACTATGGGCTAATTTTCCAGGCAGTGGAAGGCAGCCAGCAGTAATTTAGACCAGTTTTTCATACATTCACCACCACTTACCAATAGTACAGAGTAATTTTATTTTGTTTTAAAAACTTTTGGGGGCTTGGTGAATCAATTCCTGCATTACTTAAAGTCTATTAAATTGTTTGCAGTGCCAAAGATCCATAACAAAATTTCCTGCAATTTCAAATTAAATACAGAACAGTTATTTTCATATTAAAACGGAAGCTGAGTGCATTAAGAGAGGCAACGTTACTGTTGAAGGTGAACTAGGAAGGAATGTGACAGTGTAGCTATAAGAGGAGTGATAAATAAGATGAACAAGATGACCAAAGCACTCATATTTCTGGCAGTTACCTTTGAAAATGGAAAATGATTTTTATAGATGGAAAACAATTTTTATAAATGGGGTCTTTTGTTTTTGTTTTTATTAAACGTAGTATCGAAAAAACAATTTGGCCAAACAGGTTTTTCCTCCTCTGTTAATCTGATATGTTTTGGGAAACTTGCTTTAACCATAAATCTTTGATAATTACATATGGGAAGTGGAGTAAACTACTTAGTATAGTATTTATATCTTGGAAGGCTCAAGTTCAAATATCCCAATCATCCAGAGAGTGAGAGGGAAAGAAAGGGTTGGCTTTAAATAACACAGTTAGGTTTATATTTACCTAATGTATTGTTGAATTGTAACATTTAGGTAAAACATTGATAGTTTCCTAAAAATTGATGAAGTAGCTTATGAGAACATAGTAGGTAAAGAACTGCACTTGCTATGGATGATGTCAACCTATTTCATTTTTGTTTGCTTTATGTGTATTAGCACAACTTTGTGAAAAAAATAAGAAATGGCATTAAATGTTAACTTTTTGTTGTTGTTGTTGTTGTTAAGGGACTGTTAAGATATGTATGGAGTTTTATATAGTAAAAAGATTTCTTGTTCAGATTGACTCCATTGTATTGTAGCCTAAAGGTCTGTCCTTGATAGTATGATTGTTTTAATAAAAATACATCTAAAATTTCAATTAGGAATATGCCCTCATGAGTGCTGGAAACAAAGCTGGGAGGACATACTGTATTTTATGTAGGAATCTGTAAATTTTAGTTGAAAACTGAATTCTGGCTCATGTTTATATTTTTAATCTTTGGACTGTGTAAATAAACTCTAAATTAGAAGAGTAATACATAAAATATGACTTTTCCACCCTACTGCAAAGATATATGAAAATGTAAATATACTTTGACTCACTATGAATTTCACAAAGAAGACACATATTCTTAAACTGATATAATTTTTTCCCTTGTCTTAGAAACAAAAATAGAATGTGTGAATGAAATAATTACCTATATTTCTTTAGATATTAACTCGGATTAGGTTATTGTGAAATATATGCTCTAATAAAATAATTGCAGATATACTTTTTATGTGTATAATTTTGCACTAGACAATTTTATCTGTACTTAATATTAAGATGTAGCACCTCATAGATGGGGAATAACAATATGCTACATCTAATTTATTAATAGGTGAGGTTTATATTTTTTGAGTGTAAAAATTTGCATATGATTCCAATACAAACCATCTAAATTTAAATTTGTTAATAAGAAAAGATTTGTGTGTAATATCACTACTATTATTTTGATATTAACAAATAATAATAGGCTCAGCATAGCAAGAATTTATAATAACATTTTTTTAGGAAAAGAAAAACATTTGTACCAGGAAGCATGTACAAAAAACATTCATGTCAGCATAATAATTTGCACTTGCCAAAAAGTTGGAAATATCTCAAATATTCATTAATAGAAGAATTGATAAGTAACTTAGGGAACTATAAAAGAACAATAAAAATGAATGGGCTATAGCTACATATATCAATATAGCTGTATCTCATTCACAGTATTGAACAAAAAACTGAAGTGACACGAGAAAACCTAGAGTATGATTTTTTAAATAATGGAGTCCAAAACAGGCAGATGAATAATTGAGAAGTAAAATTGCTAAGAAAAATAGGGAAATTATTATTATATTAAGTCAAAATAGGAGTTACCTGTGAGAGGAAAATGATTGGAGTTGAGCAAATGGAAATTTTCTTGGAAAAAAAATACTAAGAAAAAGCACATCTGGGGTTAAATACACATCTTTCAGATTCATAGCCTCTATCCTCTATATTTGTATCTATAGTAATTCATTATGATAATAATCTGAAGGTATGAAAATATCCAGAATTATTACTTTCTAAGAGTTAATAATAATTGTGATCTATAGACTTTACCTAGTTGAAAGCTGCAGAAAAATTAGAAGGAAACAGTCAAATTTTAGTAACATTATGCAAAAAAGCATTTTTGATCTTCAAGAATTAAAATATGAAAATTGTCTAATTACTCAAATATTTTAATCAAGGTTTTACTGTATTACAAAATATGATTACATATAATGTTAGGAATGTAGAAACAATTTTAATCAGCCATGCAGATATCTCCACATTTGCTTTACTGGAAGACACTTGACTCATAAGCCTTGCTAATTTGTATAAATATAGCCAAACACATTTCAAAATATCTTAGTTGATATTCCCAAACACAAGTTCATTTTTTAAAGATTTGTATGATTTTCTTTTATATTTTATTTCATATGGAGTTTTATTCTTCTGTAAAAATATACCTGAAAAGAAGAACAAGATTTGTGTAGCTAGTTAGGATACATTGTAAAAGCAAGAGGTGCTTCCAAGAACTGAAACAAAAATATACTTTTGAGATAAACTTTCTCAGAAGAGTTTTGGCCCCAGGAGCCCACAGTACATGGCATTCTTGATTGTCTAAAGGCCTGTGCAATGGTCATTACTTAAAGAGTACAAACCGTGATTAGAACACCATTACTACCTTGAAACAAGAATGTTAAATGAAGTAATTATTCTTGGTTCTTTGTATGCCAATTTTGCCATCAGGAAACAATATTTTTCTTGGTGTATCTAGTCTTAAATTTGTCCTTCTCCTTCATACAGGTCCTCCTCTTAAGTTTTTAATCTACTTTTCCTAAAAGTAATTATATATAATTATTTTTAATCAATTTTGAGCTGCTGCTACTTAGGTGAATAGCTCCTGCACTTTTTTGTTATGCTGTTGATAAAATATGTTACCTACAGGATATGGTTTAAGTAAAACTTCAGTACATAATCTTTAATTTTTCTATCTTTATCAGAGTTCTTATTTTGTTTTTATTACACATTCAATTACTTTGTTAAAGCTGTTTATAATTTTATTATAATGGAGATGAAACTCATATTTCAGAAGAAAAAATTTAGGAATTAAACTAATTTAGTCATCTTGCAAACATTTCATTTTATAAAAATGGTCTTTCTTTTGCCATTACACTATTCAAATACGACCTTTTTGTCATTAACCCCAATACAGTAATACCTTGGTTCACAAACTTAATTCATTCCACAATTCTGGAAAAGATGGCCAACTTTGTTTTTTGTGCAGGGAAGATGGCCATGGTTATGTTCGTTACCCAATGCAGAGTTTGCAAACAAAAACATAAAATTTTCCAAGTGCTTGTGTTTGTAAACCAAATTGTTTGCAAACAAAAGCATTTGTGAACCAAGGTATCACTGTATTGTATATAACTTCAAATTTACTGGTAGGATTATGTCTGCCTGAAGCTTACACATAATATAAAAAGCTCTATTTTTAAAAATTCATGTGTAAACAGTATTTCATGCTGAGGTACATGTCAATTTCTAAAATTACAATAAAAAGGAAATAATAAGTGTTTTTTTCATGAAAACTGGATAGCTAGGTGAAAAAATGGTTGTTCTGTTAGATACCTTGAATAGTGATGAGTGAAATTATTGCAATTGTCAATAAGAAAATTCATCTATATTAGTACCATATTTAATATTCCTATAGATATTTCTGTTGATTAAAAAAATTAGTCAAGAGGGCCATAGTTGAACAGGGTGTAAAGAAGGATGTATTCTGTCCTTTTGGTCTTCTGAATCTTTCTCACCTTACTAATAATATGGTTCAGTGTTTTAAAGATATTAATTTTCTGCTGTGCAAATATACATTTTTATATAATAAATTGTTTTATACTTTAAGAATATGAGAAACTTTTAGTGACTATGAAACTCACTGTTATGCATAGTTCTTTCTTACCTATATAAATGAAAATTTATACTGCTCTAAATAACAGTTGAGGAACTTCTACTTGTGAAATTATTTTCCTTTGGCAAAGTGGATGGAAAAGATTTGGAAAAAAAACACAAGTGCTGGCACAATGGACAGGAATGTTGGAAAAAATTTTTAAATGTTGGCACAGGAATTCTTTAAAAATTCTAACTTACTCACATGTGAAATGAAAGTAAAAAAGCATCTGTCCTATTTTATGCACACTGACAAAATAAAAATGAACAATTATATTTAGGAAAGTTTAAAGCTCTTTAAACTATTCTGTCTAGCTTTTGGCAATCTTTATGTTATTTGTTCCACTGAATTAAAATATTATGTTTGAGTGCAGGCATACTTTGCAAAGCAGAAATTATAGAGAAAGAACATTCTCTTTTCCAATTCTGATGACCCTAGATGAAATATGAAATTTTTGAAAGATTAAACATTTCTAATATACTTGAGAGGAGAACTTTGAATCTTAGCCTCATCTGTCATTCAGCCCTTTTGTTAGTGAAGTATTTAAAAAAACCTATGGATATGTCTTACTATAGCATTTATTGTTCTAAGGTGAAGGGATATAAATTAGGTCTTTCAGGATTACAACTACAATTTTGAAAAAATTTCCATATTTGTGTTTTTAATTCTACTGCCAGATGTGGCTATATTTTCAATGAAAACAAACATGAAGCTTAGAATATATGAAATTTTGTTTTGATTCTTTCAGAAATCAATTTAAATTAGTGTTTTAAAGGCCAACATGATATTTTCAGATTGTTGTGTAGGATGCTTTCATTGTGTCTTGGTGCTGAAAAAAAAAAACAGTTTGGAGCTCTTATTTAGGTGTCCTTTTAACTACTTTATTTTTCCATGTGATTATGTATTGGTAAAATATTGTGATTAATTATATATATTATTTTTCATGCATTGAATTATTGCCACAAAGAGCTCAACACCTGGTTTCATAATTGTGACAGAAATAGTCCATAGAGTACCTAATTTCCTTTGATCCTTTATGTTGAACAGTTCAGGCCGTGGTACTTGCCTTGATAATGAGCCTCCCAAGCGTGACTTTCTTTATCCAGCTGTGGCCCCAGGTCAGGTGTATGATGCTGATGAGCAATGTCGTTTCCAGTATGGAGCAACATCCCGCCAATGTAAATATGGGGTAAGAGGCTTAATCCTTTTGTTTAGTCATTTATGTATGTTCTTTTATGTAACACATGTTGAGATAGAATTATGATGAACATAATTTGCTTCCAGTAACATTATTAATTTTAATATGGCTTTTGATACTGTACTGTTGCTGATATCACTTGTACAATAGCTATTTCTAAATATTGAATAATCCCAAATTAAACACATTTCAAATTTCTTGTGAGAGATGCAGGTTGCGTTTAATAATTTCTAATGTACTTATTCCATAAACCTTGAATTTAAAATGGCAACTTTATTTTTGTTTTTTGAAATATCGTTTTTAAAAGCCTTCCCTATCCCTTTTTTTTCAAACTCTTATAAATGGACTATAGGGCATTTTTTCATTGGCTATGTGCCTTTAATTCATACTTGCTAGTGCTGAGTCATACTAGTTGCTTTATCAACGCTGCCCACCTTCCAACACAACAACCAAGCAGGAACAAGAAGACAGCCCAAATAGTAAAACAAAGAAAACTGCTGTGGAAAAACATGTAGGCATCATAGTTTACTCTTCGTGCCTACCTCAGAGTGTCACAATGTCTATATTAGAAAATGTATGAAAAATTATTTTTAGATTCATAGACAAAGATTTTAGTGTCTAGTATAGGATTATGTTTATAGAAGGAATACCATATAATCTTGTTGAATGACAAAATAGGACTTTAAAATGTTAAATTTTTTGCCAAATTTCTGGCTTGAAAAGAAATTTAGCCGGGTGTGGTGGCACACACCTGTAATCCCAGCACTTGGGAGGCTGAGGCAGGAGGATTGCTGAGAGTTTAGGCCAGCCTGGGCTACATAGTGAGTTCAAGGTTAGCCTGGAATATACAGCGAGACCCTGTCTCAAAAACCAAAATAGCACAAAACAAAAATATAAAGAAATTTAAAGGCTTCCTTTCTATTTTTTTATGAATAGTCTTTAAAATTCCTTTTTGAAAATAATAAAAATAAAATGAGCTAAATTTTTAAGTAGGCAATACTAAATGATATACTCATTATAGTGTACCAGTTATTCTTTTGCATACAGTACAAAGGGAAGTGATATTTTTAAAAAATCTCTTGGGTGACAAGTATACTATTTCTCTTTAGGCTTTGGCAACACCTTTTGTGCTCTATATTTTTAAGATTCTGTATGTTTGATATTTAGGCTTTGAGAAAAACGTTGATCTTTTTGGTCTCTTTATAAACCATCTTCTATTCTTAATTGTGTATGGTTGTAGTTTCTTTTATTCTAAAGTTGCTTTTCCCCCAGAAGGTCAGGCAGACATTAATCATAGTCTTTGGGTGAACTGTATTAACAGGTTTATAGGTTATGATCAAATCATCTAGAGATTCTTTGCTAGGTTATTGTTGTCTGAGTCTCTCATTTCTTTGTTGATAAGTGAAATAATCTTTATTTTAGTTTTGCTATTGGAAATTGGGTTTTAACTCCACCTAGAAATTTCCATGAGATAATTATTAGCTTTATAGGATCTATCGATGCAGTTTTCTTTCTTAAACTTATTTAAAAATTGACTTGATCTATATATCATTCACTTCAGATTGATTTGAAATGAGATAAACTAACTATAAAATTATATACTCTTCACATTCTGCTTCTAGATACTTTATATGTTATGTTTATAAAGACTTCTGTAATAGACAATAAAATTGGGATGACATTTGCACCTTATAAACCTATATAATTTATTGTATTTTATCATGAATTCTTTTCACTTTGATTTGCAGCAAAATAATATTTCTTCTAAATTCATATGCTACATGAGAATGCTATTTTTAAAAAGGGCTGTATGTTACCAATACTGCTTCTTGAATCATAATAGATTTTTTACTATCACTCTTACCTTTTGGACTTGTACCTGAAACATTCAATTTTCACAGTTGATAGCATCTATATGATGATGAGTTTATCTGATGAATCCTTCTGGTTTTAAACAACCTCAAATACAACTTTTGAAAACAATGATGCCTTTTGAATATGAGAGTCCAGTTGAGTAAGCAAGTCATACTTCAGTTAAAACCCAATTTCCAATAGCAAAACTAAAATAAAGATTATTTCACTTATCAACAAAGAAATGAGAGACTCAGACAACAATAACCTATCAAAGAATAATAACAATAACCTAACCAAAGGGAAAAACAAACTGCCCATGATTTAGATAGCTCTGTGAGTGCAGCAGGCTGAAACAAATATGAAACACAATTCCTGTAGACCTAGGAGATCACTGAAACTTTTTTCCAGAGAGTGTTTAAAAATCATGAAATTATTCCATTTTCAAGAAGGGTTCAGATGATGGCAGACAAGATTTTAACAACTGTAGAATATCTATAACTCCATCAATGGCCAGCTTTACATCTCTTTCACTTTGGTAATTATGTGCTCATTGCTCATTTACCAGTGATTGCGTCTGTAGTTGCAAAATATCTTGCCTGAATTCTCTTAGTAAGAGGATTATTTATATCCATGTTAGTTATATTTGGAAATTTACATGAAATTTTTTCTAAGTTATTTTACTCAGGATAATATTGTCCTTTATTATTCTCGCATATCGTATAATTATTGTTTTCCAAGTGTTCTTAAATTCTTAAATAATGAAGAAATTTTAATGGCTACAGAGTATGACAGTTGTGTAATCAAATAATCAATAAATGATATATAGTTTCTGGTAACTGCATAGTGCCTTTTTCTGAGATACCTCAAACTACAATGATAAAAATCCCAATTATCTCATGATACTTTATAGATGGGGAACTAAAAATACAGAATGTGATTTTCCCATTCCATGATTTAAAAAAGTCTAGATCCATCAGTTCTGTTTCTATTAGGTATAACAACTATGTGAATAAAATAAAAGATTGTATATGTATATTGTTTCAGAAACTTGTTTAATTTTTATCAAGTACTGTCTTATTAAAAATCTCAAAACTTTCCCTCTTGTCTCAGTCCCTCTTGGGGAGAGGTGATCAAGCAACTTTCTCTAAACTTACTCTTTTTTCTTTTAGTGTTATTCTTGTTGTTTGAAATTAGTCTTATACATTCAACCTTTAACTTTACATAATTATAGAAATAATATTTACTAGCTTAACTCATAAAAATAAATAGAAAAATATGATACATTTAAATAATGAGAATATATAGCTTACTTTTTTTATTTTTTTGACTTTTATTAGTACATATTTAAGTACATACTGATTACATTTGTTGTGGGGAACTGGTACATGTACATAAAAAATTTTAATTCTTCCCCCTCTCCCTCGACCCCTTTCTATTTTTCCAGCATCAGAATCATTTATTTATAAGACCTTATAAAGTTAATTATCATATATACAGATTGAGAACTGGACTAATAGGGCAAAGAACATATAAATCATGTAAGAAACTTGTGCTAAGTCAAGGTACACTTTTAGATACATTGTCCATGATGGATTATTCCCTCTCTCTCTCTTTTCCTACTCTCTGTCTTTTATACCATATTATATGTGTCTGTGTATTGAGTTTTTCATATAAGAGAAACCATACAATATTTAAATGTGTTATTCTTTAGGGTCATAAATTCTGAAATTCTGAAAACCCAAGTTTTGTGTTTGAGTGAATTTATTTTCTTTTTTCCTATGTAAAAAGTTAGGACTTTTTAAAGGCAGAATCCAGGTATGAAGCAGCAGCATGCAAGGCTAGATCCCTAATAGATTATCCAAAAATAGCTATTAGCCATGTTAGTATGTTTCTCAGGGCCCTTGGGTGGTTCCTAGAAGAAAGTGTATTGCAAATAAGACAGCAATATCAATAGCCTAGGAAATGTTTCTTTGCCTTTTTTTTTTGGTACCGGGGATCGAACTCGGGTCCTTGCGCTTCTTTGCCTTTTTTGAGCAACAAACTTTTGTAAAGCCCAGTAGTAGCTATTGTCTCATTTCTCTTCCACTTTCTATTAGTTTTCTTTCTTATTCAAAAAGAATTTATAAAAACTAGATTAGCAGAAAGCATATTGCAGTAATAATAATAATTCTAAACTTAGGAATTTATTTATGAGCCTATATAATGGATGGGCTGTGGGTGATCATTTGACTGCTTTCCAAAAAGCACAGATTAATTCAGTGCTGTCCTAGATTTAGCTCTTTATTTCTTTATTCTGTCACTTTAAATGATATCCCAAACATTGTTTTCAAATACACTTAATGATAGTACATCTAGTAAGAAATTTAATGTTGGCCATCAAGAGATGGTTGCACATCTACAGATAAATTTAAATCAGATAAATTTTATTTTATAAATAAAATAGACTTCTAAATTTTATAAATAAATATGGTTTAATCTATGGGGAATTTTTATTGTATATAAAGTTTGTAACTTTATATAAACTTGAGTTAGCACATACATGCAAAATAATAGGTTGTACATTGTTTCTTATTTTATTTATTTATTTATTTTGTTACTGGGGATGGAACTCAGGTCCTTCAGCTTGAGGGGCAGGTGGGCCCCTGGCCCTCATTGTTTCTTATTTTAAAATAGAACTGAACAATGACTTGCCATGTAAATATATATTCTGAACCATAAATGGGAACACATTGTCTAATACAAGGTTTCACAATGGAATAGAATATTATTTAACAGAATATTTTGGATAAAATAATCCACTCACCATTTACTGCTTTCAGTGTCCTCAAATTGACCATCAGTAAATTTTATTGTCACAGAACATTTTTTTCAGTGAAAAGCAGCTTAGTTTTCATAAACTTCAGATAGTAGAAGAGCATGACAAGCATGCAAACTGCCTTTCATTTACCCAGCACATGGTGGGCATTCAAAAATGTTTCCTTTTCCTCTACGGATCTCTGTGTTTGGTGACAATTCTTGTATCACTCATATGCTGATACTGCTGTAGAAGAATTTGGAACTTCTGTACTTCTGGGAGCATATTAAGATATTCCAAGGTTCACATGTGACTCAGTGCCACCCTTCACTCTGCTCAAATG